TACCCCGTTGCCCTGCGATTTAGACTTTATAAACTTCCAAAACCCACTCGGATCGAGTGACGCATTGTGTTCAATGTTTTTATGATATTCCCGAAATTCAACCTTTGTTTGAGCTTTAATACTGGTCCTGAGATCTCGGAATTCAATAGAAAATTTATTTCTTCTGTGCATTTTGTTTTTAATATTTATCTTTTTTATAAGATCTTTAGAAAACCAATGCGGAAATTTTCGTTTGTGGAAGCTTTTAGAGGATATTTTCTTTGGAATTGTTTTATCGAGAACATTATAAAGTTTACAATATAATTCAGACATACAATCATTAGGATTAGATATGTTTAAGAGGGAGTCCCAATTAACATCCCTCATCATACTATGCAATAGCAAGTAGTTGCCTTTACTATAGTCATATGTATAGACAGAATTTATCTTTTTAACATCAGTTGTTTTGACACTAAAATCAATGCGTAATGATGGATGATAATTGTCTTCCACAATCAATGAAGATACACATTTTTGTACGGCTAAATTATTTATATTACTTATCACTAGATCTAACCTACGACCGAGAAAGTTATAAACACTATTCTTTAGACGAACTTATGTTACACATAACATCACCAGGATCACCATCTTTCAATATGGAATCCAGATAATCAAAAATAGAAGTGTAAGTTGCGATATCGGAATTTGGCGGGGCATATAGACAGCACACGTAAAATACATAGTTATTGAACTTACGTAGTATTAAAAGAAAACCACTGGCACCAAAACTTTGTGAACTAATCAGTTGAGTGCGGATATTTTTATTGGTAGCAATTAAAATCCCTCCGCCTCTTCTATCTGAATTGCCGTTCTCTCGATCTCTGCGCTTTACTATATACCGGTCATCAAAGAGTTCTGAGTCAGGAAAACCATCAGTCAACCACGTTTCAATCAACAGGACAACATCATAATCATCGGCGATTATACTAGTGTAGAGTACATCGGTTTTAGTTCGTAAGCCACGTACATTTTGGTAGTAAATGTGTAGGTTCAGGTTACTTAATTGGTTTGTTGTTCTATTCTGGGGTAGCGTTTCCGAAAATTTTGTTGTATGTCGGTTGGTAGTGGGCTATCTAAATGAACTGCAGGCAGAGTTGGTCCCCTTAAGGCATCAGACGCCAGCGGAAATGTCTCCGGAAAAGTTGTAATTTTAGGACGCCAATTATCCTGTTTACCTCCCAGAAGCTTCTTCAGTCGTTCTTCGAAGGATAATTTGGCCTGTGGCATTTCCTCAGTATGCTCTAGATATTCTTTATATATAAAATTTGCCAAATTCTTTTTAATCATGTAGTCTGCTTCTGCGTCCGTAAAGAAAACATGTCATCTGGTGTAAACTGATCAAGCGATACAAAAATTCCACCACGTTCCACAGCATGTATGCTCTTTTTAATAAGGAGGTTATACTCATAGACAGCCTGTTTTTGTTTATATGATGTCATACTTTGACATGCCCCTATAATAATTAGATTCGTATGTTTGTACAGGTCCATCATCCCTTTTACAGCTGAACTGGTCAGAGTCGTTCTTTCTTTAGCACTGCGTGGGTCTACGAACAACATGACATGGTCCTCCTACCAAAAGCTTCACTAAGATTAGTACCCATTTTGGCCATGGTCCCAATGGTAAGGGGTTCTGCGGAGAACTGACAGTTGATATCACTTCCCGCGTTCCTTTTAAGTTTAAGAAGCTTCGAAATATTCTTCACGCTATAATAACTTCCCATCACCAGCAAGCGCCGGAACTGACAGGTTTTCTTTGGTAAAATTGGTACTGGATTCTTTGGTGAAACTGGTACCTGCATTGTCGTAATAGAGCAATCAGGAGTGAATCTAATAGAACTCTCCACAGCTGCTTCCAGAGCCAGTGGAGGAGTAGAGTCTTCCATTGTCTTCCATTTTATCAATTCAAGATTCAGTTCTTCTACTTTAGCCTTTAAATTGGAGATCTGGTCTTCATATTTCTTTACCCGGTTTTCCAGTTCATCCTCTATGACAGAGAAGTCTTCCTGGCAAGCTTGGGAGTTTCCTTTTAATCTACTTGTATAGGCGTTTTTTTGTTGCAGCTTGTTACTTGCTTGTTTTTAATTCCTGTACTAGACTTTGCAGTGTTTTAGTTGTATCATTTTCTTCATCCTTCAAAGCTTCCCGACAGTCAGATGAACAACAAGTAAAATTTTCGGAGATTATCTCGTAATTTTTTGTACGTTTACAGCAGCTTGGATGGAAAATGTTGTTACATACAGTACATATCCAGTTGTTATTTATTTTGTTTTTACAGCATTTGAATACTTTAGCCATTATAGTCTAATTATTTTTGTTCACCAAAAAAAAAGATTCAAGATAATGTTCAGAGCAAAAACGCAGAGCGACGCCCGTACGGTCTGAGAACTCGTAGTGTACTGTTATTATGACAAACACAGCGTAGAATTAAATTTCTATATCAGCAGTTAAGTGGCAAGAATCCTTATATAATTTTATTATATACCTATACTGCAAGAAATTTGTTTTCTATTTTATAATTTGGCTTGCCTGAAAAAAAGCCTTTTACCATCTTTTTACTATCGATAGTTGCGCCTCGGTGGTACGAAAGTACTACCATTGCACGCAGGCCGCTATCTCCCGCTCGGGACTTAATATATAACCGACACTTTTCGACAAGTCGGAATTAACTATCTCTGCGCTGTGGTTGTCATTTTGTGAATCTGCCCAGGCTCACCTGATGATGGAGTAGGGCTCCGAAACCGGTAGTGAGAGCAGGTTGATCCACATTATGACAAACACAGCGTAGAATTAAATTTCTATATCAGCAGTTAAGTGGCAAGAATCCTTATATAATTTTATTATATACCTATACTGCAAGAAATTTGTTTTCTATTTTATAACTTGGCTTGCCTGAAAAAAAGCCTTTTACCATCTTTTTACTATCGATAGTTGCGCCTCGGTGGTACGAAAGTACTACCATTGCACGCAGGCCGCTATCTCCCGCTCGGGACTTAATATCTAACCGACACTTTTCGACAAGTCGGAATTAACTATCTCTGCGCTGTGGTTGTCATTTTGTGGATCTGCCCAGGCTCACCTGATGATGGAGTAGGGCTCCAAAACCGGTAGTGAGAGCAGGTTGATCCACATTATGACAAACACAGCGTAGAATTAAATTTCTATAGCAGCGGTTAAGTGGCAAGAATCCTTATATAATTTTATCTTAATCATATTGACATATTATCCTCTGTGATTTTTGTAATAAACTAATAAGACTGGTTAATAACAAGACACGACGCATGACGGATTAATACCACGCTGGCAAATCTTGCTATTGGGTCGGTATTTACATGTGTGGAAGAGAATCGCGTAGGGATTATATTAAGTTGGAATGAGAAAAATGCGACGGTGTGTCGTTGCAGCGTTGTCACATCTGTCGGAAATACAGGTGCGCGTTTCCCTGGTCAAAATGACGCTTATTTCTATAAGTTTTTTTCTTCGGAGAGATAACTAGATAATATCATTAGATATGTTGATGGGCATCTGAAATCGAGTTATAAGAATATCGTTATGATGCCCATTTTTTATAATAGCAAAACGTCAATAATCGCGGTAATTGAAAACTCAGCTTTTTATCACATAACACGCGATAACTCAAGAACCCACTTTAGATATTGAAACTTTTATATTTCGAAGTTCGGATCTTCGACAAGATATTTAAATGAGAAAAAATTGATATGCTTGTTTTTTTCTATTCTAAAAAATTTAAAAAAACGCGTCCATCAACTTTTCAACAATTTTCAGCAATAGCAGTATAACTTTTTTGTTTATAAAGATTTTCTCTTACTCTCTGCGAAGAAAATATAGCATTACATTATGATCACCAAACGTAGTAAACTCATTGTTTAATTTCTAACCTTGCATTTCATAATTTACAAGCTATAAAGAAAATTACAACAACTCGTTAATAATTAAACAATTACAGTATAGAAATTTTAGAACATTTTCCGATGCACGTCATCAACTTTGAGTGAAAAGCGATGGCGACAGCGCTACCAGATTGTGATGGATTTATGAGATGAATCTTAATTTAAAAGTGACAAACAATATAAATATATTTAGTATATAATTTTTATATATTTTTTTAAGGCAGCAGCTACCCGCTACAAATTGAAATAAGTAGAAATAACTTGAAGTGGTATAATATATATAGAAAGTGGTATAGTATATAAGTGCTTACCAATCAATCTTACTTCTCTGACTGCATTCAAGGGTAATAAAGGACTTTACTAAAACATAACTATATATCTAAAATTAATATATAACCTAAAACAAATCATCTCTGTAATGTGTATAATAAATTCTTATAATAATATTGTAGTCACCATAATATGTCCTTCCTACTGATTTTTTAATTGTAATACTATAAAATTTGATGTAATACTATCCAAACAATAAAGTAAGGTTAAGTTCTAATATTTGACAGACTATCAAATAAATTATGGAAACTTTTCAGGCACAAAACGGGTACGAAATCTGTAAATGTGAGCCACATCTGTTTCTTAAAAGTTTCGAAAAATTTGTGACACTAAGGCCTTTATTGTTATAGCTTATGTAGCTAAACCATATTTTGGTAAAATGTTTCGAAACAAAGCGATTTATGTTACGAATCATATGTATCAAAAATGGGACGAAATTGTTTCGCAATGTTTCTCAGCAGAGATTTTGTTTCGATTTTGTGTCTAAAAATGCTACTTGGGTGCTTACTTGAAATTACTAAAATCGGAACGCCTAATTACTAATTTCAGACCGTCCTTGATATTTACTAGACAATATGAACTGTGTGCTAAATCGTGTTTGAGATACACCACAAAACATGTTAGATAAATAATGATGGACGTAACTTGAAACTAAACGATGATTGTACAGACTTTCCCATTTGTTTTAATCTAATTTCCTAATTTTAATTCTTTTTAGGTCAATTGCATTAGTACGGAGTTCACACCGAAGAAACACGGCGGTGAGAAGGGTGTACCATTTCGCATCCAAGTGGAGACCTATCAGAACGAGGACAACTTGGTGGCCTCGAAGCGCCTCCACGCGGCTGCCTGTCAAATTAAAGTGTTTAAATTGAAGGGAGCGGATCGAAAACACAAACAGGACAGAGAGAAGATCATGAAACGTCCGCCCGCCGAACAAGGGAAGTACCAGGCCAGTTGCGAGTGCACCGTTTTAAGTGATGTAGGTAGAATTAATTCATTTGTCGAAAGGGTTGGGTGTTAAGACTAACGCTAAAACTTTGCTCCTGCGACAAATGTCGGCATTGTATTTTTTCCAGCTTATATTTAACTTGCAATGGTCGGATGTAGATTGTCTATTTCAAAATTAACTAACTACTTTTTAATTGTTACAACAATTCTGATTTTTATGAATTACTTTGCAGACACATTAAGCGATTTTTCGCGACATACCTTTCTTAGTTGGGTATGCAGTGTATGCCATAAATCTCTGTTTCCGTGAAAATAAGCATGTGAGGAGAATATTCGTGAAGTTCGTAACGTTTTTGTCAATTAAATGTCAAGAATTAAATGTCAAATGACATACCCGGATATAACTATCTCGACAGTAGAGTATGTTTATATATATGCTAAACGTAATGATGGATAATCTGGATTTGGTAAACATTATAATAAACTAAGTTCAGTACAACATAATGCGGAAGCAAATCATAACTATAACATTTTTATTGGAAACACAAATCGAACAATTCAATAATTTGAATTAATCATACACCATACGCAATTAATTTTTGCGATTACACAAGTTGTCAAGTGGTGAGGAGCTTGAGTAGCAGAAAATTCACACACTTTGACATAACACATACCCTGTAACATATTTATGTATGTCGCGAAAAATAACTTTTTTCACTCCTATTAAAGGTCATTTTCTGACATTTGTTTATTGGGTGGGCAATATTTTTTTTAACTCCACCACTTTTAGTAATTTACTACTTGACTTCAAAATACTACTTTTGCTTCATTGAATAAGTATCAGCCAAGCTATACCGGATGCGTCTCAAAAGTGGTTTACTCCTATAACTTTTTTATTTTTTCAGATAAAAAAAACAAGATTTGATATATAGTTAGCATATAAAATAAATAGGATTGATTGACGTATTCAGTTGTTTTTGGTCACTTCCTGGTCCACCGGAAATAACTACAACTTTTGATTTTTAAATGACACCCTGGTATGTTTTTACATTATTTGATAGAAAATGAGACTCTGAATAGAATGATATATCATATGTCAATTTTTGACATTTTCGCATATGGTTTATTTGAAATTGTAAAATGCTGTTCATAATGACAATTTGACTCGAAATACCAAGTGTGTGGTATCAGATTATTCGTAAAAAAATGTTTTATTTTCAAATATGCTAATGAGGCCACCCTTGTTCCATTTAAAAAAATTGAGATATGAATATAAATACGATTTGGGCATCTTATAACGGGCCCGGACAAGACACAAAAACCATTAGACGCTTAAACCTATTTTCCCAAGGCTCCTTGATTAAAAATTAGTGTTTTTAACACATTCATAGCACTCTAGATTGCAATTTAGAATACGATTTTTTTAAGGTAAAATGTCAAAAGTTGACATATGATATGTCATTCTATTTAGAGTGTCATTTTCTATTGAATAAAGTAATAATATGCCAGGGGTGCCATTTAAAAATTAAAAGTTGTAGTCATTTCCGGTGAAACAGGAAGTAACCAAAAACAATTGAATACGTCAATCAATTCTAATTTATGGCATATACTAACATACCAAATCTCATTTTTTATCTAAGAAAATAAAAAAGCTATAGGGGTGAATCACTTTTGAGACACACCCGGTATACGCCAGAACATTGGGCCTGCGGATTTAGACTGCGGACTTATATACTTTTAAAAACTTTGTGTTTATGTGACGAACCAATTCTGTGGCAGGCTAAGCCTGTAGCGGACCAAGCCTGCCACAGGATAAATCCGCAGATTTGATTTGTCAGATTATATTAGTCTGAAAAACGAAAAAAGTCGGTGGATTTGTAACTTTCTTCTTTTCTAAGTGGCAGTTTTTATTCCGATATACATTTATCTACATAAAAACTGCTATAAAACCGTCAATTGCTCTCCCAAACGAGAGTATTTAATCGGGTAAAGATCTAATGGGCAGACTAAGTCGGAAGGTTAGATTGGGCCTTCCAAAATACGAGACTCTTGGTACGTGACAGGCCAAGTCCGCGTACTAAATCCGCAGACAAAATCAGGAGGCCAAATCTTCTAGTGTATGGGGTACTATTACCATATTGTACATGTTTTTTTTTTCACTGGTCAAACCGATTGTAAAAACATACCGATTCGGAATATAAATAAAACTGCGTTTCACATTATTTATTGTTGGTCACTTTATGAAAAATAAAATAATCAAAAAGGAAGCCAAAAAGTAATAATATAGTATAGGCTGTTATATCTTTTAAAATATCACCCTCACTCTCACTCACACATTTTTGAGACACCCTGTACAAGTAATCATATCGTTTGTTTTTTATTATTAAGAATATTACATTACATGACATTAATTTATAGAAAAATTCATCGGTATTGGTAAAGTTCACAGGAAACAATTATATTTTGTGCGACGTTTCGTGACTTTATTGTCACTTCCTCAGACCCTAAACATTTACTCTATTGCAAATGCATACAAAAATTATCCATGGCGACTCTAACCACTAGAAAATGAGCGAGACTATTCTTGTGGTCTTGGTCTTGACCGATCAGTGTAAGACTTTGGCAATACCAAAACCGAGACCAAGCGTGCGGTCTTACATTTTTTATGATATAATAAATTTCTTATTTATATAAATATAAGAAATTTCGGATTTGTTCCAAATGATTTCTTTAATTTATTACAAATATTGTATTCCTGACTGCTCCATAATAGTTTAAAGAAAGAAATGCTGATATATAATATATTGAAAAATAAGAAATAAAAATAATAAACCAAATATTTCTTCAGACAAATATTATGCTAATAACTTCTTTCTGTAATTTTTTTACATTAAATTATTCAAAAAATACTATATATTTAAATATTTTCTATGTAGAAAGTGCCTCTAGTAAGAATTTATTTAAAAAATGTAAGACTTGCCAGTCTTGCCGCAAGACCAAGACTAAGGCTGGACCCTGCAGACCAAGATCAAGACTAACAATGAACTGCGAGACGAATACCAAGGGAGTCTTGATCATGTATTTGTTCATCCCTAACCGTTCACAGATGAAAAACATACGCGATTTGAAGAAATAAACATGGAGAAAATTTTTGAACGATGTACAATATATCGTCATCAGTTTGATGTGGTACTTTTAAATATGAAGTCCAGGGGAAAACATGATAAGCACCATTTTACTAATTTTACAGGAGAGCCCTGGTCCAGCTGGTGATTATCAGGTTCTTTCCCTGTATGTATAATTTTACTAGGCATAATATCATAGGATTTAACAGCTTATTGCCCTGCAGAGTTTATACATTTTGTAGGAACCAGTAAAATGTTGCCTAGATGTTTTTTGACTTGAGAAATCAGATTTTGGTGTCAATATGATCCCTACTTGTAAGGAGCGCCATCTACAAATTTTTAACTGATTTGAAGAATAATAACTTTTCGTCCGTACCTGTATAAAACTACTGAGTGAAAAAATATACATTAACGCTATTTTTTACAGAGAAACGTATCTTGATAAAAAGTAAAGATTTCAGTTAACGTCTCCTTTTTGCTGCCAGGGCTAATCTGGACGGGGCCTACTTTGTTTACGCGGAATCCGAACCGCGGTCCTCGGCCATATCATGGTCAGTGGCCTACCGACTTAGGAAGTGTCTAAATTAACTCTTACTCATCCGATCTCATCCGGCCTCGAACCGGCGTGAATGAGCAGTGTGTATCAATAGATTTTACACTTCTCCCGTGGACAACAGCACGATACAGAGTTTCGAACCTGTCACCCGTCCATCCACCAGTATCGCCTTACGTCGCTTAACTTCAGTGTTCTAATGGGAACCGGTGTTTCAACGTAGCTAGGCCGTTGCGGTATCCAGATAAAAATCGCTACGACTAACCGTTCTCAAGATATTTGAATGTAAATTATCAATAACATGTCATTAATAAACATATAAACTAGATAGTTATTTGACAGAAATTATAAATTTGGGAAGTTTCCCGAATACAATTTGAACCACCCTATATATTAGAACTTCAATATAAATATAATTACAGAGAGAAGGACAACTATTTTTTTTCAATTATTTATAAGATAATAATTAGTGATGACCAGCTTATGGAAAGTATGAATACTAAGACGATAAAATATGTAAATTAATGTCATGTTATTTAACGTTACCTATTCTATTTTATTTTTTTATTGAATAATATTTAATAATGCCGTTTAAGTATTGCTGCTAATAAAAATAATTTGTTTTTAAGGCATGTAGTGGAAGTAAGTGAAAATATGTATTAGTTAAATGCATAATAAGGGCTCAAACAGTGTAATTTAGCCACAAAAGAAACGTATTTTTTATTTTAATTGAGGAAGTAGTATATTAAGTAATAAATTCTTGTAATTTTAAATTACTGTTTGCTTACTATAGTAAATTTTTCATGCTGAATTACTTTTTATGCCTCCAGTTTTTATGTTACAATGCAAATCAGTTTTGTACAATTTTATCACTGGAATAAACAAAATAAATTTTATTAACTAGACATCAAAATAGTGAAATAAATTATGTCCTGTTTTAAATGTAAATCATTATTTACCGCTTGAAGTACAGTAGGTCTGTATACACGTATGTAGATGGATCTGTGTCTATGAAAAGAATGCGGACAAAAAACATTTAAATAAACAGCAATATATTTTGTACGTCGACTTGACGAGTACGTCACCGCAAATCGCTCCGCCCACTCATTTTATTGGCTACATGCAAATTTGTCGAATTTTTATTGATGGGACGCGTCGTCTAATTTTTTACGAAAAACATCGAGAGAATATCGTTTTCTCTCTCACGAATACCCCGTAGCTACAGAACGGACAGACGTACTGTATATACGGTATCAACAGTTTCCAAAATATTTAATAATAATAAGCAAGATATGTTTAATAATGAGAACAATAATTTTATTGATGATAATATCATCGTAAGTATGGCAATAA